AACATAGGAGCGTAGCATTTAGGGGGATCTATTGGCAGAAATGAAATATAATATTATTAAGTATGTTTTATTTCATGTATAAAAACCTGAAAATGTGAATCATTGTGTTTTCAGTAGAATAAGTCGTTTATATCTACATGAGCGGGTTCTCTTCAAGGAGCTGGCCGCCATGTTTCTACTTTAGCCCAGAACGGACAAACCAAACACTGGCTCTAGATCGGGCACACGGGAGAATCTGCAAACTTCCACCCTTAACGAGATGGCACCAAATCCTGCACACTGCACCTTTAAGAGACGACCGCCAACGGCTCTGTGACGCTGCACTTGAGCTAAATGCTGTTGTATGTTTATCATGCTAGTTTAGCGTGTTAGCATGCTAACATCTGTTAATTAACACGAAACAGAAACTACAGCTGAGGCTGAGGCGAGTGTCTTTAGTCTTGATCTGATGATGGCGCGAGGTGACAACTAAGGGACTCAAAGTCGTTACTGTTCATCCTCTGGGGAGCATTAATGCATGCTCAGAGTTTCACAGCAATCCATCCAACTGTTGTTGAAATATTTCACACAAAAAAACACAAACGTCAACTTCATGTTGGCGCTGGAGGAAAAGTCAGGGGATCACTAAACTCATTACAATACATCCTCTGGGAACAATGAATCAATCGAGTGGATGTTAAAATACAAGACCTTTGACCTGCTGGCGACGCTAGAGGAACATTCAGAGGATCACCAAAGTCATAACAAATTATTCTCTTGGGAAAATAGATATTTGTAGCAAGCTCCACTGCAAGAATGGAGTTTGAGATATTTCAGTAAAAAACATAAATGTGTCATGGTGCTGATAGAGCAAACTTGAAGGAAATATAAGTAATGCTACAGTTATATTATAAAACTAAACACTTGTGAAGGAGAGCTACTATTATCAGCACCGTGGCCTTATTCTGCTTAACTTCTGGGTATTAAAGACCATATACAGTACATTTGTGGTTGTTCAAAGCCTTAAACAACTTGTGGGCAAAGAGATATCAGTCAGCTGAGCATCAGCACATTCCCTCTGAAGATGCAACTTAAGATGAAACTGAAAATGTTTAAAACATGAGCCCTGAAATCTAGTATATAAATAAGTAAAATGTAAATGTCAAGTTCCCAATTTAGCTCCTGTGTGTAAACTCTGGTGCCTGTTTAGGTTTAGAGCCCATATTCTTCCCACTGAAGCTTCAGCGCTTCTGCTTTCCCCGTCAGTCACGTATTCCCATGAACTATGGTGGACGGATTGAGCCCAAGGCAAAGCAACAACGGTTTCTCTCTCCAGGTGCCCTTGCTCTTCGTTTCTTTGTGTTCTTCAGTTTGATAAGTGGTCGCTATTAAAGGGACGGCCTCTGTAACAGCTGAGATAGATTCCTGCAGCAGATGCTTCCTTCCAAAACCCATCGCAGTTCATTGAGTTCATGCGGCGGGCTCACGGAGACCTGATGTTTAAAGATCTGTGTTTGATTAGGAAGGCTTGTGACTGAGTGAACTGACCTGGAAGCTGCAGCCTGATAACGGCTTGATTTAAGGTGATTAATGTTTCCTTGCCTAAGTAAGGACTTCTTCTTTAGGAGGGAAAAGAAACTGCTCAAGCAAGTGATTCAACCGGTTGTAGCTCGGTGGGCGTTTGCTTTGCTTAAAGAGCATCATTAGTGGAGTGTTGAGCAAAATGACATTCAAGATGATTGAATTGGGCTTCTTGTGTCCATCTCCACCACAGCTGCTTCATCTATGCAGAGTTCATCCACTAGTCTCCTTTTTTTGTTCACTTTCAACTGACGGACGCGTTTGGATCCTCACAGATGTTAATATTTAGCATTTTGTAAATAGGTGAAAAATAAACAAGCTGTTCTCCGCTCCCTCTGAACTCTTCTGCCATTAGCACAGAATTAATCCAATTCAAACCAAACATGTGGATCAGATTATTATAAACCAGTTTATTTTCCATCTCTCTCTCGCTCTCTCTCTCTCTCTCTCTCTCTCTCTCTCTCTCTCGCTCTCTGTGTGCAGCTCTGTAGTAACACTTCAGCTCCACAGGGACCTGAGGGATTTCTGGCTGGATGCATCATGCTCAGCCCAGTCACGTGTTTATAATTCAGAATAAAGAGCGCACACACACACACACATGAGAGCATGTTCACATTAAACAGTTGCATGCAAATGGCAAAACAAAGAGGACACTCTGATATGCACGTCAGAAGTTCAGCGAACTGCACACACACACACACACACACACACACACACACACACACACACACAC